CATTTTATTATTAAAATTTAATTTTTTAATAATAAATATCACGTCTGACTTTTGGGATGGCATTTTGTTATAAAAATTAATTTTTTATTAATAAATGCCGCATCCGACTTTCAGGGTGGCATTTTATTATTAAAAATTAATTTTTTTAATAATAAATGCCACCTTCGAATTTTGGGACGGCATTTTGTTATTAAAAATTAATTTTTATTAATTTTTAATAATAAATACTGCGTCTGACTTCAGAGCGGATTTTTTATTTCAAATCTAACAAATCGGATCTGAATCCAAATCTGAATCTGTCAGATTGAATCAAATCCAAATCTGAATTCTATTCAGATTTGACAGATCGAATCAAATCTAAATCTGGATTTGAATCTGATTTGAATCTGATAAATCCAATTTAATCCAATTCGTCAGATCTGAATCAGATTCAGATTAAATAAGATTTTTTGCAGAACACTAATTCAGGGTATCATTTTGATTATAATAATATGGATTTAAATATTGAACAACTTAATATTTTATGTGATTGGTCAACAGATTCTACTATTCGTAGCTGTTTTAGAGATTCTTTTAGTATTGCAAAAATATTATGTTAAGCATTAGGCATAAATATTCCATCAGAAAATAATTTAGATTTATCTTACATAGAACCAGTAATTTTAATTCAAAGTCAATTAGAAAATGATGTTTCAATGAATAATAGAATAATAGGTGAATTAGATGAAAATCTTTCAAACAAAAATGATATTTCTACAGCTATTAATATAGCTTTAAAACAGGTTGGCTTTCTTTTTTTATTATTAGATGATGATAATATACATAAATTGGATACAAGTGACCTTACTGAACAAGTGGATTTGATACAAAATATACAACCTTCTTCATCTCTAATTCTAGTAAATAATAGTACATTAATATATCAAATTTATTTATTTTATATAAATAATATTTGAACTAATTAACAAAATTATATTATTAACTTAGATATTTAGTATACTCTTTTGGATAGGCAAATAAATTTTATTAAGATGATAGAAATTCGTATTAAATATGAAGCCTATTCCTCAAGAATATTGGAATACAAATATCATGGTGAACAAATTGCAAAAAATAGTGATTTGACAATAAACCTAAATAAAGCAAATCATATGGTCACACATTTTATTAACAATGAAAATCTAAAAACAAGATTTATTACGCAATATGAAAAATGTTGGAAAACAAATAGAAAAACTATGGCAGTAAAGCTTGCTCAACATCATAAAGAAAAATTGGCAAGAAATAAAAAACGTAAAAATAAGAAAAAGCGAAATGTTAATTCAGTTATTTGTAAAGTAAGTTTATATATTAAATATATATTATTATATTTATGTTTTAAATTAATAATAATTTAATTTTTACAGTTTCGAATATTAA